AAGGTTTAAATAATGTATTGTTATGATAATGTGTTTGGAAATCTGTCGCCTTATTTTTTGCTTTCTATTCTTTTTTTTCCTTTTTTTCTGATTTTTTTTCTTTATTTTCTTTGAGTTATGTTACATTCATCCTCCTTGCATAAAGAGACATTTTTGGATATTTGTTTCTAAGAAATACCTTTTATCTATATTATCAGTTCAAGAATAAAATGATGTCCTTTGATAACTTCTAATATTAGAAATTTCTATCCTATTATAAGTTTGTTAATATGACATATGGTTTTAGACTTGAATTATTATTAAAATATTTTCTACTCTATATCTTCTCTTTAACTACTATTTTTATATTTCCAGTTAATTTTGAAACCATATTTTCAACAACTATTTACATTTAGCTATAGGTTTAACTGGTTTCAAAGCTTAGTAAAAATTTTATATTTTTAATTCATTAGTCTTTAAGCAGAATGTAGTACATCCATGTGTATAGAACATCCCCTCCTCTGAAAAATAGGAGGAAAAAATGCTTGGACTCATCTATGATTGATTTTTCCCCTTTCACGTCTATATCCATCTGCAAATCTCAAAATCTTGAATGGCAGAGTTTGACCTCTTTTTATGATCCCCATGGCTATCACTCGAGTTCAGCCCACCATTATCATTTACTGCAATCATTATAATAGTGCCCTCTCTGGTTCTCTTCCAGGTTAAAATGTTAAGTCACACCATGTCTCTTTTCTGCTCAACTCTCTCCCTGGCTCCTCATCTTATAAGAGCAAATCCCAAACATACTTCCTGCTCTTATGGAACAAGCATTCTGCCCTTCACTGCTCTTCTCTCCTTATAGCTCCGGCCGTACTGGTCTTTTGCTGTCCCCTCCAAGAAATAGAATTTATTCCTGCTTTTGGCAGTCATCTTTTTATTATAATCCCATCCTTCGGAGAGCTGTCCCCTTGCATGGCTCTGGTTTCTAACCCAAAATCTCCTCACTAAAGAAACTTTCCTGGATTATTCTACATAAAATTGTACTCCACCTCTTTCCCACCCCAGGAAGTAAATTGTTCTGTACCTTCACTTAACTGACATTTGCGATGACACCTACAGCTCTTGAGATTATCATGCTGAACAAAACATGTTAGACAGAATAAGTTTCACTTATATGTGGAATATAAAACTGAAAGCAACAACTGAAAACAAGGCAAATAAACAAAAACTCATAGATACAGACAGCAGTTTAGTGGTTATCAGAGGGAAGGGAGGAAGTGGGGTAGGTAGATAAAGGTAAAGGGGCTCAAATATATGGATGGTGAAGGAGGGAGATTTGACTTTGGGTGGTGAACACACAACACAATATGCATATGATGTATTATTGAATTATATACTTGACACCTATATAATTTTATTAACCAATGTCACCCTAATAAGTTTAATTTAAAAAGCAGCAGAACATAAAACAATAATAATCCTAGAGAAAAAGGAACCATCATGGCTAACAAAAAATGCTAAATTACAAATAAGTAATTGTATAATAATTATAGAAATTTAGCCTTAAATAAAAGCTATGTGATTCATGGAAGACTGCAAGGAAAAGTTCAAGTTTCTGAATTACGGCGACAAGGACAAATTGAACAAAGAGCATATTAGGAACTTCCAAGACTGAGACCAAATGCAGACGAGTGGAGTAAGTAGGCATTCTATATAGTTCTTTATTTCTGTATTCTTCTGACTTGCCATGTTCACAACTTACTGAATTTTATGTTCCACTGCTGTTAAGAGAAGGTACAAAACATTTATTAGCTGGGAAAACTTGATGAGCTAGAGCATCTCCTATGTTTTACTGTTTCTATTTCTGTTAATCCCGTTAGAACTCATTCATATCACATAAGTAAGTGCGTGGCAGGATAGACTCCACTTTATATTGGGGTAGCTATGGTCAATTTCTTTGATAGATTTTGCATCTCCAATCTTTATATCAATATATACATATTTACTTTCATCTGGAAAACCAATGAGATTAGCAAATTGTAGCCGCTCTTTATTATTCCTAAATCGCATGAAGACCTACAGTGCCTGCTTCTAGATGACAAATTAAACAAAGAGAAAAAGTTGGGAAGGATTTTTCCCAATTTTTTCATGAAAGCTCTGATCCAATATTGTGCTGGTGTGGTGGTTATTGAAATACTAGAGAAAGAAAGTGCTCATCGAGTTCTTTGAAAATTAGGTATGTAAATTCATACACAACGTCATGCCAGCTCATCATTTATACCTGTAACATGAGGGAGCACAAAATCGTTCTTCCTTTTAAGCAGGTATCAAGTCAAGCTCACAGAACCAGATGTGTGTTTTGAACTAAACTCTCTTTGCTGCCAAAATAGAGTATTTTAAACTGCTCAGTTTATTGATAAAAGAAAAATCTCACCAGCAGAGGGCTGAAAAAAGTAATGTGGTAACTTAGAAAGCTATTAACATTGAGACACAGAAAATGGTGGAAAATCTTTGGACTCCTTTTATCTCTTTGTGTCCTGAAATTGTTTCTGTGCTTACTATGTTAAATCAATGTGTGCCTTTTAAAAGGAAAAAAAGAAAAAAAAAAAAACTCATCAGTGAATTAAGCAAGATCTGAAAATGACTTTTTATATTATGGGTTATCATATTAGATGCATTATTCTCATTTTGTCAAATAGCTTGTATAATAATTGAGGATAAAGGCATTTCTTGTGCATGCACCTCCTCCATGTTGCTTACTGTGTACCATAGTAATGTAGACAAATAAGTAATTGTGTTAGAGATTGTTGGTGCTGCAGAGAGCACATTAAGCCATTAAATTCCATGGCCAAGTTCAATGTTTAACTGAATTTTGTAAGACCAGGACTAGGTCCCACCATGTGAGATTTGACTTTTCCTTTTTGGTCCAGTGGCCCTGTATGTAGTAAAATACTTAACCAGAGACCAACAGGACACTCCCCTCTCCTGCCCCAATCTCTGATGGACACACCTGGCTCCTGAGCATCTTACATTCAATTGCTCAGGACAAGAACCCTTGGAGTAATTCTGAGGGCAAATTATAAATTATCTTTGGAATCTGAAACTAGCATGCATAGAATTACTTGAGAAAACTATTCTAAGAAGGGTAACAAAAGGGTGAAAATGTAAAGCTGGAAATGTCTGTGGTTAACCACATAATTCAAGTGTTCTAGTAAATAAACTATTTCCTGAGAGAAACATACTTTAGAAGCAGTCTGTACTTTTAAAATACCATTTAGTATTTAAAATATAGTGACTTACAAAAGGCTACCCAGAGTAGCCTGGGTGTTCTAGGGTTTCTCCGATATACTTCAAGTATTCCTGAAGAGCAAGTGGAATACTTGGAGGGTTTGGCTCACCATGTGCCTGTGCTAAATGTAATTTATTTTCTACTCAGTAGCTTAAATACGCAATTTTAGTTATGTGATATAGTGGAGGAAGAGAAACAAATTCAAAATGCTTCCAGAACCCCACCTTTTTTCATTTAAGGTATGGTATATATCAGAAGTCAGCAAACTACACTCATAGAACAAATTTGGCCCACTGTCTGTGTTTGTAAATAAAGTTTTATTAGAATATTGCCATGTTCATTCAGTTATGTATTGCCTATGGCTATTTTCATGCTACAATAGCACAGTTGACTAGTCGTGATGGAGATGGTATGGGCCACAAATCTGAAAATGTTTACTATCTGGTTCATTACAGAAAAAGTTTGCCAATCACTAGTATATATTATTATACATTAGTAACAAACCTATCTATCACCAAATATATCAGAGATTCCTTTCTTTGTAACAATCACATAATCCAGGATACATAAAACACATTTCATTAGAATGAAATCTTATTTCCAAAGAATTTAAGAAAATATTCATTTCTTCAAATTCAGTATTTGGGTCTCAGATTTCCTTCCTAGAAATTAAATCCCACTTAAAAAAATATACACACACATTCAAAAAGTGTTCTTTTATTATTCCTAGTAACATATATTGTATAAATACTCTATTTTTATATGCCTTTTTACAATCACGATATAACTTAAAAGTTTAATCATTAGAAAGAAATGTATAAAAATAAATATGTTATTATAGGCATTTATTACATACTACGGCCCTTCTTAGAAGGAACACACAAACCAATACTTATAAAGTACGTATAACTTATAGTAACATATTTTACTATATACATATGGAAAAAGTCATTCTCTTTCATAGTAGAAGAGCTGAACAGACATTCACCAGGATATGACTGTTGGATCAGCTGCTGGGGATGGACCTGCTACCCCTCAGTAGCCTCCCCACCATGATACAAATGATCTCACTGTCCCCAAACACTGGGGATCCGGTTCTGCACACCCCATTTTTGTTCTGGCGTTACATTTTTTTTTTTTGCGTGACCTTGCTGACTTTCTCGAGACCCAAACTGTTTTTTTTCAAATCCATATTCTCAAAGTAGGCTTACACAAGAAGGAAAGAAAGGTAGGAGGTACCAAACTTGTGCCTCCTCTGGTTTTTACTAGCACCTGATACACTGCTGCTTTTTTCCCCCTTGTAGACTTAACACATTTTTACAAACACACGCAATTGTTTCTTTGTCAAAATGAGTTCACAAATAAAGACACAAGAATGGCACTAAAAGATAAAGATGGGGTCCTTTGAGTCACGTGACATTACTAAACATTTCTGTCACGGTGGACACATTCTTGAATTCGTAACTCTCGGTACAAAAGATGACATAAACCTCTAAAACCATAGCAGCCAGGAACAGTGCTGGTTGAAGCTGTGTACTCCTTTCTCCCTTCACTGTTAGTGAGGTAAAGTAAGCCACGCCTTAAACTAAAAATCTCATTTTTCTCCTGCTTTGCATTTCCCAATCCCCACGATACACAGCATTTTTAATCAGTACCAGGAAACAGGGATTGTAATATTTCTTAAACTTACTTTGAAAATTATTTATATATTTTTAAAAACATGTCATAATGTATTTTAAAAACATGTCGAGATGTAACAAAAGGAAAAAATAATAATGCCCGGGGGGGCTTTATCATGCTATATCTTTCCTCAGAGATTAATAATCTTTTTAACTATCCTATCAAATTTGTAACTGGCAGGATATTCTGATCATCTACTTTTCTACCTACCGCTGCACTCCGATCTCCAATGAGGTACCACTGGATCGATCCCTCCAGCCTTCTTGACTTCAGCGCCTCAGCCCTCTCTCACCTCATCTTTCTCTCAACACCGACCCTGCTTAACTGCATTCTGCCATCGTGCAAAAGTCTATGTAATGTTTGGGCTTCTTTAAAGGATCGCAGCTCTCATGAGCCAACACCCCCCCATCATGGGACAGACACTGCAAGGTTCTCTTTTTGTAACCCTTCCCACAAGTCTTGGAACATGGCGACCAATCCCCCAGCTGCCAGTGGGGGCAGGGCAGGTCCGCACAAGGTCTGCTGCTGGCTGGCTTCACTTCCTTCGCACACTCGGAAGCAGGCTGCCCGTTGAGGTCTCGGCACTCCACCAGTCTTCTCTGTAAGCCCAGTCCACACGACTTGGAACACTCGCCCCACTCTTCGATGACCCATTCTGAGAAAGTAGGGATGGCGTTGAAAGATTCCTTCTTCTTCTTCACAAAGTAGGTGTACTTAATTTTCGGTCGCAGGGCATTGCCCACGGTGAGGACCTGGAAGGTCAAGGGCTCTTTGAGAGGGCTAAAGCTGCGGATTCTCTCCAGCGTTGCAGAGGAGCCACTGTACCGCAAGATGGTGCCTTTGTACGTAATGTCTTGTTCTAAAGTGGACAAAGTGTAGTTGCCATTCAAGATATATGTGCCATCGGCAGCTTTGATGGCAAGGAAGCTTCCAGTATTTCTGGAACCCCTCTGATTCCGGTGTTTCACTTCAATGTTTGTGGCCCCAGCTGGAATTGTGACAATATCATGATATCCAGGTCTGCAGGCAAGAAAAACAGATATAAAATCTCTCATTCACTGGCTAATAATATAACTTAGCTTGAAAACCATGCTAATCATGGAGAACGTAATTTTTGCCAGACCTGTAAAAAGTTACATCTAAATGATATGATCTTTGGTAGTACAGCATTTTAAAACTTACTTGACACTAGTAACTGATCCTGATACTTTCTTGCATGTAGATCCATTTCCTCCACAAATACCGCATTTATCAAACTTCTTTTTGGAGTCTATGATGCGATCACACCCAGCTTTTACACACTGTCCTTGCACACAGACAGAGGTGGAATCTGGGCTACATGGAGTGCCATCTACCACCTGAAAAAGGAAGAATACGCATCTGGTGTCACACATTAATAAGGGAAGAGCTGATGCTGTAACTATAAAAGTTTCCCTCATTAACATTACATGTCTGCTTTCCTGACCACTGTAATAAAATAGTACTCTATCCATGTCACACACTACCCTTCTCTTTGTCTTTTTTTCCCATAATACATATAGATATCAGGAAAATTACAGATTTCTAAATTATTTGTTTATTAACCTACCTCACTTCTAGCTAAGGTCAATGAAAGCAGAGTTGTTTTTTTTTTTTTTTGTCAATTTTTCTACTGCTGTATCCTCAGTGCCCAGAATAACACTTGGCTGAATAAATCACTTGTTAAATGTTGACTCTGCAACTGGGGAATATTTTGAGAGCCTACGATGATAATGACACATGACGATCTCAACCAAATTCAGTTTCATTTTCTACCTCAGAGCAAAGTGTTGTTTCTACTAGTTCAACAGATGTCCTTAAACACAAGAGGTATCAATGCTCAGGCTTCCATTTTAATGTCTATTTGCACATGCTCCTACTAGTCACCCAGTAACAAGTACTTTGGACTATGCCTAGGCTATTTTGCAAAACCACTAGTTGGTTGCCATGTTAATATATAATTTATCTAACCAGTAGTAAAGGGCTCTTCTTCATTTATAAGAGAAATAATAAGTAATTGCAAGAATTCCAAGTGCTGGATTGAAGCTTCATTCACAAATGAAACAAACAAACAAACAAACAAACAAAGGTTTAAAGCGATTAAGAGACTTTCTCCGTAGGCAGTATAATCATGCTATGCTGTTTCCCAGTATTCTCAAGTAGATATAACAAACAAACAAAAAACTCAAAGCTAGCAGTTGCTAAGGTAACTGGAAGAAAAAGAATTCTAATTTGAAACCGAACATGCTAATATGCAAATTAAAGGAAGTGCATCATAGGCTGCTTGAAAATGTAGTATAAGCCAAAGCCTCGGCTCTTAGGCAAAAAGTTAGGTGGAACAATAACTACCTTGGGCTGCAAAACAAAGAAGTAGCCGATGCTTTTGGCTTGACAGATGAGCTTGCACCTGTCCTTCGGTGAGACTCCGGCGTACTTGGGTGTCCACTCCATCGCGGGCCCACTCCCGAAGGAAGCTTTGGAGAACTCATTGTGAGCCTCACATTGCTCCTCTCTAAAGGTTTTTCCTGGAAAAAGAATGATATGATGTTATTCGGATCCATCCCTAACCATCTCCCCGTGGATACGTCTTTTTCACGCCCTGTCTACTCACCATTATTATCTGGACAGTCCTCAATGTTACATGACTTGTAGCGCACACGCTTGCCTTCACAGTACTTCCCTCCGTTCTTTGGGACTGGGTTGTCACATTCCCTCATTGTATACTGAACTCCTCCACCACAGGTTCTCGAACAGTCTCCCCAGGGTCCCCATGACCCCCAGCTTCCATGAACGGGAGTCTAAATGGGGACACACATCATCAGCGTTAGAATTCTCTACAGAACCCTTTTTAGGAAATAAAAGAAAAGTATGAGACAAAGAATCAATTATAAAAATAATCTATCTTGTGCCCCTCTCAAGGACAGATAGGGGTGTTTAACGTGTTATCAGACTCATCAGGGTCACTGCATTCGATTTCGAATTGTGCACATTTGTCGCAGTGGAAAACTCACATCAAAATGCTTCATGTCTGTCTTGTTCTCACACTTGCCGTGGACACACCATTTCCCTTCTTTACAGCTGGTGCCGTCTGCCCAAGGGAAGTGTCTGGTTTGGCACACTGGCATTCCGCCCGAGGTGCCGGTGCACCAGAGGGTTGTGCATATGCTGGCTGCGTCTGGGCAGTGTTTGGACTCCTGCCCAAATGTAAGCTGGCACTGCTTGTTTGCATCATACAAGGTCCCAGGAAGGTCAGAGGGGAGTTGTATGGGGCTCTGAGGCTTGTCCAGCAAACATTCTCCTGCAAAGAAAAATGCCAACCAATATTAATAAAATGATAAATGAAAGCATGCAGAGGGTAGATCGGTTTCAGAAAATACTTATCACAAGAGATAATACAGTGCAAAGTGAAAGCTGTAGAACTTTGGGGGAAGATGCCAGAGAGATATAAATTAAGATATGATCCTCAATGGGGGTATTTCTGCATTAACAGTGAGAGGAAATTATTGTTCTGCTAAAAATTCAAATTAATTTAAGTCAGGAGTGACTTGGCCAGAACACTACCTTTTACTGGAGTAAAATATTCAAAAATGTATGTTCTTGGCAGTGAAAGTAATTTTGGAGGGAAGATAAAAAGAATGCAAAAAAAAGAAAAAAGCTGGTTTAATTAGAACTCTACACGTGGACGGTTGGATGCCATCTAGAAGAAGTAGCTGGAGAGTCTTACCATGACCATTATCCAGAAACGAGGTGATCATGTAGGCACTGCAGGGAGACCACGGCTGGTTGTGGTCCAAACTGGAAAGCATTGACGCCATCATGTGGGAATCCTTGTTGACACCATTAATGTTGACACACTGCTTTGCATCATCGTGTGGCATGTTAAACACGTGGCCTAAGAAGCAATGCCAAACCCACGTTAAAATATAGGTCATTTGCAGCATGGTATTCCTAACAAGAATTCAGTTGTCTCAAAGTGATATTTCTAGGGGGAAATATATATTTTGTGGAGACATTGTCTACTTTTCGCAGGTCGTAAACAAAACATATACATTTATTTCCAAATGTCTATAGCTCCAACTATCTTACTTTGTATTCTAATAAAGATAATCATGTTTAGAATAGTTGAAAAGTATTTTCTGTAGTTTCTAAGAAGCCCAGGCACTTAATATAGCAATATAATCTGCAGACTCTCCCTCTCATATTAATATATTATTTATTATTTTGAATTCATAAATCGGGCTTAACCCTTCCTCTGAAACAGACTTACCTAATTCATGAGCTGTGGTGAAGGCAGCTTGTAAGCCATCATCTTCTATGACTGAGCAGCTTCTGCTGGGATCACATATAGTTCCAACATCAGCCATCCCAAGAGTATCACATGTCTGGGTCCCACACAGGTCCTATAAGGAGCAAAGGCGTATCATTATAAATAGGGACAGAGCATGAACTTTGAGATCTTTTGGGGTAGGGTGTATCTTCACATATGTTTTGGAGCATCTACATTCATTGTCGTCAAGCTGTCCTTTTAGGAATACTCTGTGTGAAGTTAATCAAGATTTTTCCTAATGTTATTCAAACAGGACTATGAAAGTTGAGATATTAAAATTACAGAAGAAATAAGGAGATTGACCATGCTAGCCAACTAAAAGATTGTTAAGTGCCCAAAATTGGTGAAATGCCTTACAGACATTTGTTACAAAGCTGACTACATCCAGAGGACCTTATTATAATCGGTACTGTCTTTCTCTCACCTGTCTGGTGTAAAGAATCGCTGTGTCATAGTGCTCAGCATCTCGGTCACTGGGTGGATTATGCTGCTTTTGCCAGCTGCAGAAGTTCCTCAGAGTAAGGGCAGCGTTGGAGGTCACTTCTGGCCCTTTCTGTTCATCATAGATGACCAGGATCTTCACTACCACCAGGCTAATTGAATTCCGAATGCTGGGGTGTTTATACAGCCTGGCAGCCACGGAGAACAAGGTGAGAAGGTAATGCTTTAGGTCACTACCGTGGAACTCTGCCATGGAATGGTCGGCCACAAGCATGGTTTCCACGTAACGGGGGCTGGACACAAATCGCTTCTTTCTTATGCTTCCACTTCCTGTAAAGGAACAAGAAAGATAGTTTGCTTGGAGCAGTCTAGCCAAGAATAGTTACCTTTTCCAGAGTATATAAGGAAAGCCTAACCAGTCAAAGCAAATAAAACAAAAATACACCTGGGACAACAGTAACAAAAATATTTGCATCTCTTTTCACTGAAAAAGTTATTTAAAATTTTTTCTCCTTTACTTTAAATAAAAAGGCCATGTGCTTCTCTGAAGTCAGGCTTTTTATTTATTTTTATTTTATTTTTTTGGCGAGCAAGATTTTTTCTTGTCTTCTTTGAAATCCTACAATCAGAACAAGACCGTATGCGTATCATCCTATCCAGCTGTAGTAAAAACTTGGAGAAAGGGCAGCAGGCAGAGCGCTTTGAGTCACTCTTTCACAGGCCAGGGCTCGAATCCTGAATGAGATCATCCAGCTCCACGTGGAAGGCCCAGGGCAGGGCTGGGGCCTCTGCCAAGGGGCGGGACCTAAAGGAATCTCAGCCTGCACTGCTCTGCTCTCTCATTCCAGGGGTCCCTGGGGGTGCATCGCTCCTGCCAAACCCAGGCACAAAGACCACCCACTCTGCCCAGCAGTTTATTGCCCCGCTCCTGCTGCTCTAGGGAAATAAGTTCCTGCTTTGGGCCACTGTTGATTATTTAGAAAAGAGCCCTTGGACTCCTGAGATCCGGGGCCCAGGGAACTCCTGAACTGGGTTGTAACCTTATAACTGCTTCAAGGAGCAGTTGTACAGCGGAAAGTGGAGACCTCTATAACAAGACATGCAAGCAAATTAAAGAAGAAAAAAAAAGGCACCAAAGTGAGAGAATAACAAGAACTGGACAGTAAGCACTGCACGCAGCAGAGATGGGAAGGCGTAGCAGGAAGGATCAGCAGTAACTAACACTGAACAGTGCTTGAAAGCAGTTATGGCCGCGAGAGGGAGCGCAAACTGGGAGGCCGGGTGGGCGGCGCGGAGAGGCGGGGCAAGCTGGGCAGAGACCTCCCAAGCAGGTTCTGTAGAAGGGCCCCGCCGCCGCCAGCCGGTCGGGGTCAGCCTCTTAAATGGAGAAGGGGACAGAGGCCAGCCGAACAGAGATCCTAGCGCAGCGATGTAGGATCGCGGGCTGCACATTCTGAGAGGTCGCCATCGTTCCTCTGCCCTGCATCCCGCGCTCTCCTGCGCACAGAGTGCGCGCACAGGCCGTGGTCACAAAACTCGTGCAAAGTTTCAACGCCACCAAAGAACACATGCACAATCGTAAAAAAAAAATAAATAAATAAATAAATAAATTGACAGGATAGAAAGAAGTCGCACACGCTCACACGAGACTAAAGTGGAATGAGTTGGATTTCCAACTCTTCCTTCCTGGTCCAAATGCTTCGCCTTAGTCAGCAGAAAATCATTGATTTGTCTGTTCTGTTATGATCATTCATTATTTAGGCAAACAGAATTAAGTGTAATTAAGTGTTCTAGCAGGAGATCTCAAGTCTCATCTCTCCACACCAGGTCTCCTTGTCTGCAAATAGCAATGTACCCTTAAGTCGCGTCACAGACGTAAAGAGCTGGGAGGAGGATGAATGGAGAGACAAGTGAGAGTAACTCTTCTGCGACGGTTACCTGTTGGCTGCCCCGCGCGCTGCGGCGCTGGGTCCCTCCGCCGCCACTGAGCCTCGGCGTCCTCGTCCTCTGGCCCTGCGCCCCTTGCGAGCCGAGTCTCGTCGTCCATAACCCCGCACTTAGCGCCGCCGCCTCCCCGCCGCCTCCGCCGCAGGAGATGGAACTGGGACTGCGTCGGTGGCTCCTCCCCGGTGGCGGCGGCGGGGGCGAGGCGCACGGTGGCCGCCGCAGGCGCGGGCTGGATGAAGTATTCCTCGCCCTTCAGGTAGAAGGCGCCGCGCACGCCCTCGCAGAGGCTGAGAGCCGCTGCTGAGCTGGGGTCGTGATTCACAGTGCCGGAGTAGAAGCAGTGAGCCAGGTCACCCACGGGGTCCGGACCCGGCGCGTTGAGCCCTGGTTTGCGCCCCATGGTCTGGAGAGTGAAGCCGGGCGCCAAGAAGCCACGGTCCGGCTGCAGCTCCAGGCTCAGCTGCTGGCCGAAGGCGTCCAGGCGGAGGTGCGCGGTCCTGAGTCCCGAAGCGCGCTCCACTGTTGGGAACACCAGCTCCTCATCCTCCTCGGCGGGGCGCCCCTGCGCGCCGGGCGCAACCAGCAGTGCTGCGGCCGCCGCGAACAGCAGCACCCGCGCAGGCTGCGAGCCCCGAGACCGCCACGCCAGCTCGGTGTTCCCCATGTCGCCGCCTGCCGTACGCCTTCAGAACCCCGCGGAGACTGCTAGCTGCACCCGAGCGCCGGGAGGCACCGCGCGCTGCAGCGCAAGGAGCGAGAAGGCTATTGTTTGGGTCGGGAATGCAGAGCCTCGTTGGCCTCGCTCTGGATGGTTAAAGCTAACGATTACTATTATTCTTTGAAAAAACGCGCAGAGCCGCCGCAGACAGGGCTCCCGGAGTCTCTTGGGAGGAGGCGCTGCAGTTCTGCCTGCGAGCGGGAAGTTTTTCTTCCAGCGCAGAGTTGGAAGGAACGCGCTGCAGGCGCTGGAGGGGTGGATGCTGCGGGGACAAGAAGCGCCCTGGGACGCCTCCGGGGCGGGTGGCACCGGGCAAGGGAGGATCGATGCCTGGAGCCCCTCTTCAGCCTCCGCCTTGACCACGGTGCTGTTCGCTCTGCGCAGGGCTCTGTCCTCTCGGTCGTACTGCGCGACCTGGTTTTGGAGTGGACCTAGGCTCGGAGCGGCTTTCCAGCGAGTGCAAGAATCAGGCACCCGAGGCCGCTCTTTTATATTAGCGTCTCCACCTCCTCCCCCTCTTCCTCCTCCCTCTTGGCCGCTTTCCCGTTCCTAAAACACCGCCCCCTAAAGTCGGTGCTAGACCGCTCGCAGCGCTGCGGGCCCCGGGCGGGGGAGGGGATGACCTCGTCTCTGGCTCAGCGCCAAGGGCTCGTCAATCTGGGGACGGAAGACGCAGGAGGGGCGCTGTGTCCAGCATTTTGTACGTCCGGGGTTGCTCCTGGGAGAGGGTACTCACTTCCACTGCGTCTTCCCGCAGGCTGGTTTCCCGGACCACCTCCCTTCCCGCCGCCCCTCTGGTGCAGGAGCGCAGTTTGCGCGTTAGGCTGCAGTTCCCAGAAGGGGCGGTCAGGGTGGAAAGCTGAGTCCCTTCTCCAATATTTCCCTGAGCCTCCTTCCTCTCAACCCTCCACACTCTGCAGCCCCCTAGACCCCAGGTCTGGGAGGTGAAGCAGGGCTGCCCTTTCTAGAAAAATATCCTACCCCACTTCTCCATCTCCTTAACCTGCCACCGGCGGGTTTGCTGCAGCGCGCTCTCTTCGCCCCAACTTTTCTCGGAGAAAGCCTGGTTGGCCCAGCGCCTCCCCTAGAAAGCATGCTGGGGTGAGGGGGCCAGGAGACAACTTCCCAGGCTCTGGATTTTAAAAGGCGTGTGCATTGACCTTCACCCCTACGCTTTCCACCATCACCCCACCCCCCTCTCCCGCCTTAGAGTCTTCTCCGTGGGGACCGGGTTCATACTTCCGGAATAGGTGATCTGGAAAGCAGTTCAATTCCCTAGAGCTTAGGAAGGGAATTGCGCTTTCTTTTCATTCGGGGGAAAAAAATCTACCAGCACCCCCTCCCAGCCTGCCTTCGTCAATCTCATAGCGACCAGGCAGGCAGCAACGTCAGGGAACCCGGCTTTTCCACCCAGGGGCCAGCGGCATTGCTGGGGCTAGAAAGTGTGCAGAGGGAAAATTAAGAAATCGGCCTCTTTCCGCACCCCTCCCTCCTCTTCCCATCAGGGAAGGAAAAGGCTGCATCCGTATTATAAGAGCGAGCAAAGCTGAGCCTTTCCACCTTTAGGTCCCTAAGAAAAAGCTGAGCAACTCTTTCATCGAAAAAGAGGGAGGGGCTCAATGACACAGAGGAAGGAAATGTTTCATAATGCCTCCACAGGCGGAAAACCACAGGGACAATGGTGAGAACTACTGCCGAATCCGCGGGCAGACCTGAGTCCCTCACGTTCGCGCCCTCCGCTTCCTGGCCTTGCCGCGTCTCCTGCGTCCCGACACCCCCGCCCCTCAATTTTCACCAAGTTTTATCTCGTTCCTTTCCTCACCCCTTTATTCTGTCCCAGCCAGAAGCGTCCCCTTCAGTCCTCCAACACGTCCCTCTTCCAATATTTGCTTTCGGAATACTTTCCAACATCTTTTTCTTTCGGGGTTCTAGATTGCCTACTTAAAACATAAAACCCGAAACCTTGCTTCCCACTCTTTAGGAAAGATCAAGTGAGGAGTGGCACAGAGAAGCAAAAACGCTTTACTCTTAAAAGGGCTTAATAACAACCCCTGGTTTCCACTAGTTTAGGAATGGATGCTTTCTTAAGGGCAATTTTGTTTTTCTAAGGCTAGTGTCATAGTTAAACGCTGAATGATCAACCCAGGAATTAACATATTTTTAGCTGCAGCTCAAGGTATCTAGATGATCAGTTTTTCTTTGTTCTTCCACTTTCTTCATCCAACTAACATTTTGACACTGCTTCTGCCTACCTCCTTTCACCCAGTCTCGTTGTTACACCCTCTCATCCCTTCCTTTGCTCCTTCCAATCTAATACTGACAGACACACTCATGAGTGGCCTCATTCATTTCCATGTTGTCTAGCCTAACTCCTTCTGTTCTGAGAGATTTACTTTTCTTTGCTTCACAAGCGTCCTTTCCTAAACATCCTTATTTCTCAAACTGATTTCCAGACAGTTTTCATATTTCCCTCCTTTGTTACAGAGGTATTTTTAACTTTACATTTTTATTTCATTTGTTCTTTCTTGCTAGAAGAGAGGTTAGATACTTGGGAAAACGTTTGAGGAAAAGTCACTTTACACTTACAAGTGTGGAATTATGAAAACAAGACTGTGAAGCCATCAGTAAATTTTCGAATCTCTTGCTTAGAAGAGGACTCTGAAAACAATATAAAGCGACCAGCAGTTGGGGCCTCAGAGAGAATTTGAGATGGAGATTTCAAATACCTGAGGTGGCCTTGGGGCTGACAGACTTAACAGACCAATAAGGGTAAATGTGAGTTGGAACATAATGAGAAATTCAGAAGACCAGCAGAAAATATGTAATTTTCTAAAAACTCATGTAATGTATTCCAAACTGTCATCTCTCCTACATACACTTCAGCTTTTAAAATATGTGAGTGCAAGTTTGGGCTTTAGTCCATTTCTACCCCCAGGATGTTCTTATTGGAAGTTTGTTTAATTCATGGCATAGATTTCTAATCTTGAATGGTTTATTTAAAATTCATTCTAATTTTTGTACACTTCCTGTTGTATATACAAATAGAGATGAAAAAAAAACAAAAACAAAAAACCCCCAAAAAAACAGAGCTAAAGGCAAAAGGATAGCCAGGAACATGGCTTTTTTTTTCCATTGGGTTTCTCTCCAGAGTTCTGTTCTTTTGCATAATGACTCCAGTCTGTCGTGCACCTGTAGTTCTGGGAAATGATTCTTTTTTAATTGCTTCAACAGAGGCGTGGATGTAGTAATTGGCAATTACTAAGCTTGAAAAACTGTGTCCATGCTCAGAAGAACATTTAATCTCCCTACTTTTTTTTTCAGACCAACGCTCTTTGGGTGTTTATGCTATTACACAAATGTATGCATATAACATATGTATATTTATTAACAACATCGTGAGTCAAAAGAGCATTTTACTATGGAAACAAGACTGAAGGAAGTAAAACGTGTAAATGGCACTAGTAAAAATGACATGTGATTTCAGATTCTCGTTAGTAAGTGTCACACTCCCCTCCTTACAGATGTTTGCTCCTTGATTTGAACAGGTACCCGAAAGATCACATGCTATCCTAAGCCCTACCGTATTTCTTTATAGAATACATATATGCTTATATAAACATAAATTGTGATATGTTCTAATTTATAGACCTTAACCAAATTTTATTTGTGGAGATGGCCTAACAAAAGTTAAAATAGTTGTTATAAAAATATTCTTATAATGAACAGTATGACTTTTGAAAAGCATTCTTTTCCTCTAGTAAGAGAGAAAAGGTTTCATACATTTTAAAGTAAAATAAAGAAATGTTAATTTTCATTTATGCTTTACGTGTTTATGTTTCACTTATTCATATATTACCAATATAATACTGTTTGTAATTCTCAAAAAGTCTATACCAAGTTAAGTATTCAATGAGTAGCCATAAAATGAGAGAATCTGGTAATATACATGAGCTATTAGTATTGTTTTAGTGTAAATATTGTCTACGGAAATGATTACTGTATATATTTCATAAACGTGTAATGCCTTTTATTCAAATTTTCATACCATAGGATTTAGGATTTACCAATTAGAAATGGGAAAGCTGTTTAGCATTACTGCTCCTTTTGGAAACATATGGTTTAAAATAATATTGAACAAATAGATACTTCATTTGATCATAAATGATAAAATAGATGCAAAACTTATATTTTAAGCAGATCGTATACCCAGAAATATAACAAATATTGAAAACAGAAAAATTAATGTAAAGTGAATTTGAACTTCAAATTGCTATGACCCAAAGTCAAATATTTGCAAGAACTGAGAAAACTGTAATCTGTGTGATCAACTTCTCTTGTTTGATAGATGTTGAATTGTGCCTCAAAGGGGTTCTGGTTAAGTGGCTTGCCTAAAACGTAGCCAAACTGGGGATTCAGAAAGGTCTCTGACTCATAATTTTTAATCAAATGTCTTTTAACATTTTAACTATATAATTGTTTGGAAGGTAACAATGTTGTCAGACTTGTTATTGCTGTTTTCAATGATGAAATTTCATTTAAATTCTAAATAGGAATTTTCTGGCAATGAAAATTCCACCTTAAAAGACTCACAGCCTTTAGTACCTCTTTTTCGGTCCACGAGGTGGCGACGGTCTACAACAAATGGTGTACAGCTCAGTTTTTCTTAATACTACAAGTTAGGGATTTGCAAAGGTGGTTATACTTTTTTGATCATATTTAATAAAATGTTAATAAAATTTTCTCTTATCTTTTTCTATCATGGAAAATATCTTTTAAGTAATTTAACTTAAATGTATTTACCTTCTTAAAATAATAATATGTCTTAGCCAAGTACTTTTTAATCATATAGCTCAATTAACTTAAACTGAAAATCAATTCAACTTTAAAAAAAAAGATCCTATACGATAATACTGTGGATCATTTTCATTTATCACATTTGAGAGCTTTATACAATTCAAATAAAAAGGTCATAGACATTGCAATCTATTGAATCAAATTAAAACCTCATTCATTAAACGGATCTGTATTAAGTGCCTACAGTATGCTTAGTGCACATTAATGCTTGACTATCAATGCTAAAGTTTAATACTTGACTCTCAATGCTAAAGTTTACTCATTTTCTTGGTTTAGAGATATCCCTTATAAGTACAGAGAGAGAAGAGAGAGAAAATGTTCTACCACCAGGTGGTGACAAAAGATAAAATGTAGTATTTCAAACAAATGTTTGACTACCCAAATACTAGTGACTTCCAAATGTCAAGTGAATTTAAAATCATATGCTGGAAAAGTTTTATTACTTAAAATGAATCAATATTAATACAGTATTCCTAGTTTAATAAATTCTGGAATTGGAAGCATGGAAGCAGACAATTTTAGTCAGCAGGAGGCGCACGAGCCTGCAGAATAAGAAACTTTAAACTCATGATTTTTCCTCCCACCCAGCTTGCAATTTATTGATTACTTAATTGAGAT